GCTGTGCATTTGCTACAGTATACATCATTGACATGATTTACTGAGAGTGAGGTCTTCTCATGGCAGAAGGGAAGCTAATTAAAAATAAATAGGAAATTATACAGTTGCTAGAGGCAGTGAGGGAGCCTAGCAAAGTCGCAGTAATATATATTGTTCAGGACATCAGAAAGACAAAGACTTCATTGCACAATGTAACGATAAAGCTGATGCTGAAAGGCGAGAAAGACAACACAATCAAAGCCCTGCTCTCCCCAATGAGAAATGTAATTGTGTTGTATACCTAAAATGTACCAATAAAATAATTTAAGAAAAGAAACAAAAAGCCCCAAAAAACCTGTTCTCACCACTCCAGAGGCTGGTGAGTCAACACACGGCTGAAGAATGGAAGCACAAACAAGGACGACATGGATTATTGTGCTGTGCCAGATCACCACTGCCTTAAGTTTCCTTGTTTTAGAACTGTGGGTGTTTAGGCCTAGTTATGAAATGTTTGATGAACAATATGTGACTTTTAAAATGGTAAAATGGGAACTGAAATGTTATCCATTTACAATATTCTTTGATAAAAACATTATGGGGGACCTGGGGTAATTTCAGACTGTGGGGGGCTATTCTAATGAAAAATTATATTGCAAAGAGAAAACACAAGTTTGGATCAATGGTTCCCTTGTCGAAGGAGCCACTGGTGATTGTAACAATTGTAAACAAGGTCAATATAATCTTATATCTATGTATATGCCAACCCCATGGGATCTTATTTGGCTGCAAGGAGTAATATATTTCATTAAGAAAAGAAATTTAAAAAGATCTTGAGGAAATTCGAGACACACTTCAGGCTTTAGAAACACAACTGAATTGACTGGGCATTGTCATTACAGAATAGGCGTGCTCTCAATTTGCTCACAGCCCAGAAAGGAGGGACTTCCTTATTTCTTGATGAAGAGAGTTGTTAATATGCTAATAAATCTGGTGTAGTACAAGAATCACTAGACAAACTAAAATATCAGATTAAGGCTCTTGATGAGAAATTTGGTATAGGGGAGCTGTCCTATGGGATTAATTTTACTTGGGCAGGCTGAAAAAAGCTTGGATAGGACCTCTTCTGTGTCTCCTTCTTGTTATAATATTAACATTAATGTTTGGTCCTTATGTCATCCAATGGATTTCAAAATGTATACAGTAGCGTGCTACAGCTGAAGATTACCAAATGCTAGTGTTAAGAAATGTAGCTAAACTGGATAGAACTTGTAATGGATAGAAGAATTACCCCAAAGTAAACAGAGGGAGGAATGATATGGAAAAGTTTTAGATAACTTAATAGATTGAATATTAAGGTAGTTGTAGAAACAAAATAAGTAATGTATTCTTTTGAGATTTGCTTTTCCCATAACTCCTTGTTTAAGGTGACAATTATCTGACTCTAACTGGTAACTTCATTAACCTAACAAAGTTACCATGCCTATCTTGTGCCTGTGACTTGTAAATAGGAACTGGAATTGTATTTACATATCAAAGACCACTAGGGATGAGATAATGGCTAAAAAAGGATATAAAAAAGGAAACACTGAACAAAGGGCATGCGGATATTGACCAGACTGGTTTCTGATGTTCCTGCCTGCTCGTGAGAAGAAATTTTATTATTTTATCTGAATTCTGTGTCTCTGTATATTTCTTTCCTAGATTTCCATAACAAGGAAATCACAATAATGGGGTAAGTCTGATGTTTGGTCCAGATACAATTCCTTTTTCTGAGCACTTTCAGTTCTTGTGTAATTGAATCCACATTTCTGGATCCCATTGATGAACAGGGCAGGGTATACAACGGGGAATCAGGAAATAGAAAGCTTTAGGCACAAGCCCAGGGTCCCAATCCATGACCTCAGTAAAAGACAAAGCCTGGACTAAAGTTCTGATTGCTCTGAACTCATGCAGGATCTTAGCCCCTACATCCCCTGTCATCTCTTTCCTCAGAAGAAAATGAAGCTGGAGTAGATGACTGCAACAAAATAGAAACCTTTGAGAGTCAGGCCTGGAGAATATACATTTTTTTAATTTTCTTTTTTTGAGACAGGGTCTCCCTGTACTTCAGGCTGGATTTAACTCACTATGTAGCCCAGGATGGCCTTGAACACATGGCAATCCTCCTGCCTCAGACTCCCAGTGCTGGCATA